GAGATGGGAGAGGGGAGCTAGGGAGCTGGGGTGACGGGGAGCTGAGGCCGACCGGAACTGGGGAGACGGGCCGGAGAAGGACGTTTTCTCTCCTGAGGTGCTTGGTGCGTTGACCGGTTCCCGCCGGGGTCCCGGGGACCGTAGAAAGAACTCCCGCCGACACCCGCTCAGCTCGGGCCCCTCGGCGCCAGGTGCGGTTTCCGAGGCCGTGTTTCCTGCTACACCGCGGGCCTCCCGGAGCGCCCGGCGGCGCGCTTCCGGCGCGGCACTTCCGGCGGCGGCGCAGTCTGACGGAGCTTGGGCGCCGGCCGCGTTCCAGCGGGTCTTCCTGGTGGTGCCGCGGTAAGGAAGGGCGCGGGCGGCCTGCTCGGAGCGCGTCCTGGCGCTGGCCCGCCTTGAACCCCGGGCTGGTCGGCTCCCGGCGCTGCCGGAAGCCAGTCCCCCGAGGCGCTCCGTCGCGGGCCTCCCCGGCGGCCGCGGACAGCCGGACAGAGCCGGGGCGGGAGGCCCTGCCCCGGGGGCGCTGTCCAGACTGCCCGTCCCCCTCCACACGGCCCAGCCAGGCAGCGTGGAATACCAGGGCCGAGGAGGGCGAGGATGGGCCGGGGTCCCTGCTGGAGGTGGTTCCCGGGCCCAGCGCTGGTTGAGGAGACGGGTCACCGCTCAGAGAGCCTGTGCCCACCGCCTCTCGCTCTGCGCTGAGCCCCGGCCGAGGCTGAGCCCGCCTCTCTCCCCAGGTCTGGCCCTGTTCTGGGCTCCCAGGCTGGGGCGGAGCCTGGTGCCCCCCTCCGTGAGGACGTGATGCCCAAGCTGCAGGGGTTCGAGTTCTGGAGCCGCACCCTGGGGGGCGCTCGCCATGTGGTGGCGCCCATGGTGGATCAGAGCGAGCTGGCCTGGAGGCTGCTGAGCCGCCGCCATGGGGCACAGCTCTGCTACACTCCTATGCTGCATGCCCAGGTCTTTGTCCGGGACGCCAACTACCGGAAGGAGAACCTGTACTGCGAAGTGTGTCCTGAGGACAGGCCGCTCATAGTGCAGGTGGGCAGCAACCACGTCCCCAGCGGTGAAGGACCCTAGCCCTTCACACTGGCTAGTCCCAGCAGCCAGACACCTGTGGCTGAGCCCATCCTCCAGGTGCACCTCCCAGAGGCTTACCCTTCCCTTGGAGCTGGCTCAGGCACTCATGAGGGAGTGCCCTGGGTAACTGGAGCAACTCACAGCCCATGGTGTGACCGTGATGCTGCCCGTCACCCTCATAGGCCTTTCTTCTGGGAACAGTTACCAGAGACCTGTGCTGTTAGGAGAAGCCGGCACTAGCAGCTTCTGTTACACATCAAGGAGAATTCTCTAGATCTGTAATGCACTCTCCTGTGGGGAGGGGATGAATCCTGCTCTCGTATTGTAAATGTTGGTAGGCCAGGATACTCCCAAGGCTGGACCCCAGGACTACAACCATTGTGTCACAGTGGAACCCCTCACAGGATTGGGCAGCCTGGGCACTGAGGGACCTGAGCCTGGCTTGGCTCATGGGTATATTTCTTATTTTCAGTTCTGTGCCAATGACCCTGAGGTGTTTGTCCAGGCAGCTCTCCTGGCTCAGGATTACTGTGATGCAATTGATCTGAACTTGGGCTGCCCACAGATGATAGCCAAAAGGGGTGAGTTGGTGTTCAGGGTCCTGCGCTAGCCCTGTGGGGGCCCAGGCTCTGTCTCTGATCATGGCAGCAGCTGAGGCTAACAAGCAGTCCTTCCCTTGGTGTTCCTCAGTGCTGGATGGAGGCAGCCATTCTCCTGACTAGACAGGTGCACAGGCAGGGTTCCTTACTCCTTGATGAGTGCCTCTGCAGAAATGTGGCATGCCACTGGGCTCAGCCTCTCCCTCCCTGAGCCCCTCAGTAGGCACAGCTGGTGCTGGCCCACGTGATGCGTGTACAGTGTCCTTTGAGCATGTGCAGCTGGGCAAATAGAGCCCCCAAGTCAGATGCTGGCACACTGCTTGGGTCTGTGATCATCCCCCTGCCCCACCCAGATGCCCAGCTATTGTTTGACATTAGTTTATGCAGCCTGGCAGGGGGCTTGTGGCCTGTGGTTGCAGGAAGGACAGGGATTGTGGGCCACGTTGAGGGAGGGTGCTGAGGCAGCTTGCACCCTGGCCTCACTGGGCCATGCTCATTCCTACAGGGCACTACGGCGCCTTTCTGCAGGAGGAGTGGGACCTGCTGCAAAGCATGAGTGAGTGGCCGCATGCCGCCAGGTGGGCAAGTGAAGGAGCCCCAGAGAAGCCCTGCAGGGCCGGGAGAGGACAGTGTGACAGAGTGTCCTGGATCACTCTGGCAGCTCCTGGCTGCTGTACCCTCCCTGTTGGAAAGAGGTGCCTGTGAAGAGCCACCTGTTCTGCACCAGCTTTCCCCTTAGAGCCAGACAGTAGGTGGGACAGCCAAGTCTCTCAGCATTGGCCCCACGTCATGTGAACTTGTGAGGACAAGGGAAAGGCTGTGGTCACCTGCCCAGTAACCTGAGGATGATGGCTGGGTGATGACCAGAGCTGCCCTCCAGGAGGCTGATGCAACTCCATGGGGCCTGGGCTTGGGGCTCAGCTGGCTAAAGTGGGATCTCAGAAACCATATCTCTTCCTAGTTCTGTTGGCCCATGAGAAACTCTCAGTTCCGGTCACATGCAAAATCCGCGTCTTCCCAGAGATAGACAAGACTGTGAGGTACGCCCAGATGCTGGAGAAGGCTGGCTGCCAGGTGAGGGCTGTGGCTTGCAGGCATGGGCGTCAGGGCTGAGGGGCAGCCAAGCTCTCTGAAAGCTTCAGTGAGACAGGCTTCTGACCTCTTGTCTGCCCTCCTTTTGGGGCCCTTGCTTGGAGGATTCAGGTGAGGCGTTTTCTGTGCTGGGGCTGGTGGGCTTGTCAGTGGCCTGACCCCATTGACTCCCAGACATCCACCCTGAGCTCAGTCCTGTGACAGATGCCATCTTGGCTCTAGGGTGTGGTCCCCATGGGAGTAGCTCTGGGGAGCTCAGCAGCCTGGAGGGCTAGGGAGGCGGGCCACACAACTCTTGGCATATCTGGTCCCCTGTCCCTGTGCTCTGCATGTTGAGCTCTGCCCAATGCAGGCTGGAGGGACTCAGCCTTGAGGGTGCCCTTCAAGGTGCTTAACTGCCAGGGTTGGACAGGATCCTAAGTGATCTTGGGGTAAGGCCTGGGCAGGAGACCCCATTTTCCCTCCCCCCTCACACTGGTCCCTTGTACACCTATGACCTTGGGTGGTACTGCTTCTTCCTGGCCTGGGCACTGGCTCTTTTTTCGGTACTGGGACTTGAACCCAGAGGGGCTTTACCACTGTGCCATATCCTATAACACTTTATTTATTCATTTTTTTCAGATAAGGTCTCACTAAGAGACCTTGCTTAGGGCCTTGCAAAGTTGTTGAGGCTGTCCTTGAACTTAACAGTCCTCCTGTGGGGTCTGACTTTGGACAGGATTGGGCATCCTTGGTGTAGCCTGGAGCAAGATCCCAAGGGCAAGGCTCACAGCACCTTTGGCCCAGGATGGCTTTTTCTCTCTCTGGCTAGGGAGCAGAGAAACTGAGGGAGGGGGTTCCCTGGAGTTGATCTGGAGGTTCAGTGGGTTGAGCTAGGTGCTGGTCTATCCTAGCTGCTGACGGTACATGGGCGCACCAAGGAGCAGAAGGGGCCCCTGTCAGGAGCAGCGTCCTGGGAGCACATTAAGGCTGTGCGGTGAGTGGACGGGGTGGGGAACACAGCCTGGTCTTTCCTGGCGGGGCATAAACCCAGCTCCACACCTGGGGGTGTTCAGTACACCGGACTTTCTGTGACCAGTTGGGGTGGGAGGCCCACGAACGTGGAGTTTGGGGCCTGTTTACCCGTCTCTCCTGGGCCTTTCACTGCCCTGTTGGGGACAGCAGGGTCAGGCCTTTCTCCTCCTACAGGAAGGCTGTGGCTATCCCAGTATTTGCCAATGGGAATATCCAGTGCCTGCAGGACGTGGAGCGGTGCATCCAGGACACAGGCGTGCAGGGGGTCATGAGTGCAGGTGAGCAGGAGGATGCTCAGCCCCCTTCTTCCTTGATGCCCTGTTTTCATGAGCAGGCAGTCTGCTCTGATGGGCCTGCACTCTCAGACTAGGTTCCCTGGGCTGTTTCCAACTCGTGACTGGCCAGTGAGCCAAGTGGTCAGTCCTGTCCTCAGCAGGAGGTGACCCAAAGGGTGTCCTAGGCTTTCCTCTCCCAGCCCAGGGGATGGCCCCACAAGGCCTGCCTCCCTCCTGCCTGCAGAGGGCAACCTGCACAACCCTGCACTGTTTGAGGGCCGGAGCCCTGCCGTGTGGGAGCTGGCTGAGGAGTACCTCGACATTGTGCGGCAGCACCCCTGCCCACTGTCTTGCGTCCGGGCCCACCTCTTCAAGCTTTGGCACCACACGTGAGTCACACATCAGGCAGAAGCCAAGCAGGACTGCCCAGGCATCAATCTAGGGGCCCTGCCCCAGTGTCTTGGGGCTTCCCAAAACAACTTGCCACCAATCCGGTGCTGAAGGGTCAGAGGCTTGCGGGCAGGCGAGAGCCTAGGTGGGAGGCACTGGCTCTGTGCCCTGTGTACATCTCAGGGTGGTGGCTGGGGCCCAGGAGCAGGCTCAGCTCCTGTGACAGATATCTGCCTTAGGCTACAGGTGCACCAGCAACTTCGAGAGGAGCTTGCCAGAGTGAAGACCCTGGAGGGCATCGCTGCTGTGAGCCAGGCGCTGAAGCTGCGGTGCCAGGCAGGTACGGGGCTGCGGGGCCCAGCCATGGTGGCCAGGCTCAGTCATGACCGGGTCTGGGCCTTTGCAGGAGGACATGTCGCGGCAGGAGGAGGGAGCCAGGCCCACTGGTGACCTGCCTTTCTTCCACTGGATCTGCCAGCCCTGCGTCCGGCCAGGGTGAGCACCTGGGCCAGTCCATGGATGTGGGACTCACGTGGGGACCTTGGTGTGGAGCAAGGCACCTTTCCCGGGTGTACCACCTGCTGCCCCTGGGGACCCGCCTGCTCTCTCTGGCTTTGGTGGAGGGTGCTCTCAGTGAACATTTGGTTCCAGAAGCTACTTCCCCAAGCTCCTCTATACCTGGGGGATTTGTCCTTGGGGTCAAGATGTGGATTCTCTGGACTTTTCCTGAGCTCTTACGGCTGAGGCAGGCTATCATTTGTGGCCACAGCCCTGCCTGGGCTTAGTGGCTTAGACGGTGGCACCTGAGGTTCAGACACCCTCCCAGGGAGGCCCCAGCCTTGTGCTAGCCACTCACCCCACCATATGTATGTAGCTGCCCCCTGTAGTCCTACATAGGCCAGCCCCTGCCTGGGCACCCTGAGAATGGAGCTGGCCAGGGTGCTTTGTATATTCACATATGTCCTGTGCACTAGTGCCCACCACAGCTTCCCAGTCCCTCCTCACCCTCGGACCCCCCAAGAGGCTCTGACCCATGTGGCTGTGACTAGATGATCACCTCTTGTGGGTGTCCTTGGCTCTGCTCACTGCCCTTTCTCTCCAGGCCCAAGGAGAGCACCAAGGAAAGCAGTGGTGGCCGTAGCAAGAGGGCCCTGGAGGAAGAGGAGGGTGGCACAGATGGCCTGTCCAAGAACAAGCAGAAGAAGCAGCTGCGGAACCCCCACAAGACCTTCAACCCATCTCTGAAACGTGAGCACCCTGCAATGGCTGGGCAGGAGCAGTCAGGCCCACCCCAGAGGCTCTTCTCTGCCTGCCTCTTGTCCACAGCTCCAGAGCCAGAAGCAGATGCCTGGCTTTCCTTCCCACACTCCAGGGGCTTGGAGTTGTCACAGTTGTAGTGCTGTACTGGAGGAGTGGCGGGGTGTGGACAGGGGACACACCTATTACAACGTGTCAGATGAGGTTGTGGGGCGAGTCCTCAGCTGGGTGTTGTCCAGGTGGCCACTGGGTTACTGAGGATGTCTCTGGCCAGCAGAGCACTGGGTATGCCCCAGCCTTGTACAGGGATGGCCTGAGTAGCTCTCAGGAGCCCTTGGGAAGTGTTCTGAGGTCTCTGTAGCAGGCTGTGAAGGAGGTCAGATTATGGGTGAAAATGCTCCACCTCACAGGAAGACCTGATTCACAGTTCCATGTGGCCTCAAAGCTTGTGCTGGGAGGTCTCAACCCAATGTAGCCCTCCTCTCAGCCACCTAGGCCAGACCATGTAATGTCTCTCGGGCCTGGATGCTCTGATGCTTGCTCACATCTGAGTAGCTGCCACAGAGCAGAGCTTGGGGCCGAGTTCCTGATTTTTGGCCTTCTTGCTATGGAAACACAGCCAAGGGCACCAGAGCCCTAGAACTGGGTGGGGGTGGGATAAGGCAGCTCTTCCTGTTAGGAAGAAGCCCCCCTGCTTCCTGCCTATTTTCTAACAAGACTGCTCACCATCCCTTACTTACCCAGACGTAGCCAATCCACATCCTTTGCCCCCGAGCCCCCGCAGCCCAAGTAAGCTTTGTGGAGATGGACACTCAGCCCATCTCTGGCTCTCATTCAACCAGCATTTCTTTTTGTTCTTTTTTTCAGCAAAATATGCAAAGTGTGACCAGTGTGGAAACCCAAAGGTTAGTCCTGGCAGCCTGCTGCCCAGGAAGTGGTGGGCAGTGCGGGCTACCCCAACATTGTCTCAGACGGTCCCTGTGCTGCTATGGGGCTGGTACTGTCCAGTCGGGAGGACAGCCACGGGGTGACCTGGCCTGGGGGGCAGTGCCTTTCTGTGCTGATTCCCAGGGCTGTGTCCAGGCCATGGGGCTTCTGGCATAGGCTTCCAGATGACTGGCCTCACCTCACTAGCTTTCCTGTGCCCAGGGCAACAGGTGTGTGTTCAACCTGTGCCGGGGCTGCTGCAAGAAGCGAGCCTTCCGAGAGACAGCAGATTGCCCAGGTGAGGGAGTGTCTCCACCGTCAGCCCACCACCTCTAATGGGTATCTGGGCCTCCTGACCCCCAATCTCTTCTTTTCTAGGTCACGGGTTACTTTTTAAAACCAAATTAGAGAAGTCTCTGACTTGGAAAGGGACCCAACCTGGGCTGCAGGAGCCTCCACAGACAGGGCCTGGAGCACCAGGTGGCTTCTCTGAGGTTGTGGGCAGTGCCCTGGCCTGAGGAGTCAGCAGGAGCCACCCCCACTCCGGGCCTGCAGCTGAGGCCTGGACACTTCTTAAGGAACTGCCTTTACTCAGGGAATCTCCTGCTGGTTTACATGGAAGGACATGCCGACATCCTCCCTGGCCCATACTGGGACCTGGCAATGCTGCACCCAGGCAGGCCCAGGCTGGACCTGCCTTGTGCACAGCTTGTGTGTTCAAAAGTGAACAATAAATCATTTCAGAGACACATGTGCAGACAGCCAACAGCCTATGGCCACCACCCTTCCAGACCCAGGGAGGCCCGGGGCTAGGAGGGCATGATTAGAACCAGCAGGGACCTAGGAGTCTGAGAAAGTGAAGAGGCAATACACTAAAGCCTATGCAGGACACAGCTGGGAAATTAGGGCTTCACCCAACCTCTCCCAAGAGTCTCCAGAGAGCATTCCACAGGAGACCTGGTGACAGCTGGAGAGGGCCCCACAGAAGCCAAAAGCAACCCAGGTGCAATCCAAGTGGCCACAGCAGGAAACAGAGCCAGAGCAACCATCAGTCTACTCTTTATTGTATGCTGCAGTTGACAGTCTGCAATCCAAACAACACGAACAGGAAGGGTGTGGGAGACCGTGCTGCCAGGCAGGAGCCTGGGCACTGCATGGAGTCTGTTCCCTGGGCATGGAAGCCCATGAGGTCGGTCCTTTGTGGCCACAGTAGGCACCCTGTCTGCCTCCTCAGGCCCTAGCACAGAGTCTTGCCAGGTGGAGGGACACATAGAAGCCTGGCTAGAAGCTCAGGAGTGGCACCCAGAAGTCAGGCTGCTCAAGCTCCTCAAGGCAAGCAGGCAGGAAGCCCAGGAGCATGTCCAAGGGGGCAGGGAAGGGGTGTGCAAACCATCCTGGAGGCCGCTGGGTGCCCCTCACATGTTGGTGCTCATCCGGGACTGGCTGTTGGCTGGAGTCAGCTCCCCCTGGCTCCCTTCTCTGGGAGGGGACTGCAGTGGACAGGAGAGAGCTCAGCCAGGGGATGCACAGGTGCTGCCCGCTCCCTGATGCCCCCAGCTGCTCACCTTGACATGGATCTGGTTGCGCAGCACAGCTGCCCTCAGGATCATGGCCTTGGCGCGTCGCTGGAACTCCTTCCCCATCAGCAAAGACTTCTCAAAGGTGGTACTGCGCTGATCCACATCCCGAGCATACAGGATCTGTGCAGGGACAGGTTCAGCAGGGCCCAATAGGGGCCCAACAGGCACCCTCGGCCCCACAGCCCCCTAGCCACCTTGCTATGTGAGTCGATGCGGGCGTTGATGAGTCCTTCCAGAATGAGCTGTGTGAGCTCATCCTCCAGTGCTGCCACTGTGGTGTTGAAGGCTGCGGCCATCTTGTGCATGTCAGCTGACACATAAGGGCTGAAGTACTGTGGGGCAGAGAGAGCAACAGCTGCCTGCCACTCTGGGGCACATCCATTCCCACCAGCCTCTGCCTGCCCTACGCCTACCTGGATGAGCGCACGATTTCGGATCTGGGTGTACAGAGTTCTGACGTGGGGAGCGAGGTACATGTCCAAAAGCAGGTTGTCCTGCAGAGGAAAGCTGGTTAGGGACCTTGCTGGACAGAATCCAGCCAGCAGGGCCAGGACCTTGCCCCTCACCTTCATCTCATCCAGCATCTTCAGGCATGAAGCGTATTTGGACTCATAGAATTTAAAGATGATGTCTCGGACCTGTGGCTCCAGCTCCAGGAATAACTTGAAGGAGCTGCAGATGTCGGAGTGCTCAGCCCCACACCTCCACCTACCCTCTCTACCCAGAGGGCTGGAAGGGTTCCACTCTCCAGGCACAAGGCTGAAGGGGCCCACACCCCACCCACCTGCTGGAGATGACATTGCGCTGCAGTTCCTGCCGGTCAAATGTGGCCAATGCGCACAGACCTCCATAGATGGCCACGTTGCTGGGGGAAAGTAGCTGAGGGGCAAAAAGGGAGATGGGTTCACTGATGACCTGTCACCTCCTCAAGAGAACACCTAGGATCCCATTCAGAGGAGACCAACGATGTGACCTGGACGCTCTCACCTCAGGGAAGTCGCAGTGATCGAATGAGGCCAACAGGAAGCACTTGGCAGCCTGCTTGTATTTGCGTGCAGCCAGCTCAGCCAGGCCTAGAGAAGGGGCAATGAGGGAGAGGGTGGCGGCATTAGGCTGCCTGGAGCTGCCACGAGGGCCTGGCCATCAGTGGTGTCCCCCAACCTAGAGAGTCCTAACTGTGAAGCAGAAGTAACTCCACACTCCAGATATGCCTCCTCAAGCCAGGTGCCCAGGGCCTTGAACTGCTGCTACTGCTGCTGCCTGCATCAGACACCCAGGCTCAGAGACACCAGCTGGGCTGCCAAAAGCAACACAGTGGCTTGTCCCAGGCACATGCTGGCAGGTGTCTCCTTGGTGTGTGAATTTGGGACACGTGCATTCAACAGTGCCCTGCAGCCTTCCAGTAACTTCCAGCTGTGAGACGGGGCCATTCCTGCCCCAGGGGTGAGGACTCAGGCCTGGGCAACCTCTGGGTGGTGAGAGCCTCACCTGCAGCACACTTGAGCTTGGTGAGGATGCCTTGGGTCTGGCTGTCCCGCTCTCCACGCTGCTGCAGGGGAAAGCCACATGCATAAGAGGGCTGCACCCCTCCCCTCCTCATCTGGGGAGCCCAGGGCCCAGGCCCCAGCCCCAGCCTGAGAGGGGAATGAAAACAAAAGGGTAGTGGTCAGGCTCCCACAGCAGAGTCTCCAAGGAGGTGGGCCCTACCTCAGCAATCTCTGGGGTAGACTCAGCCTTGCTGACATAGCTCAGCACATGAGACCAATTCTGCAAGTAGACACTGACCTGGAGAACAAGGGGCAGGGCTACACTGAGCTTGGGTTGCCACCTCCTGGCTACCCAGTGCTGCCCCCTGCCTGCCAGAGGCCCACCTTGATGACGTTGAGGCACATATTGATGACATGCTTGGCACTCGTACAGTAGTCTCGGGCGCGGGAGTAACACTTGAGGGCATTGCTGAGGTCCCCACAGTCAAGGTAGTGGTCACCCAGGTCATCGTGGCCGCGCCTGTAGACCTGGCTGTGAGTGGACACAGCAGGGGGCCAGCTGGGCCCAGACACCCCCTTCCCTGGGCAGGCCAGCACCTGATGCTCTCCTTGATGGAGTTGCCCTTGTAGTTCTTCAGGTCTGTGTCCAACTTCTCTAGCTTCAGCAAGGCCTTCTTCCGAGTGGCCTCCACCCAGGCTGTGTCCAGAGGTGGGGGCTCCACACCACTCTCAGGAATGGCATCGGGGGCATTCTGCAGCTCCCTGAGGGAGGACCTGGCCATCAGGACGCCGACGGTCACAGGGGCCAATGAGGTGGCCAGATGTTGCCAGCCACAGACAAGCCCTCAAGAGGCTCATTCCCAACCCCAGCTAAAGGGCCACCTGTACCAGGAGCACAGGGACAACTGCTGACCCAGGAGCCCTCGGCTGAGAGGGGAGTGCTCCCAGGAGAGGACTAGCTCCATGGGCTCCCTGGAACATGCAGGCAGGTGCAGCTCCTTCAGCCCGGAGAGGTAACACAGTGGCTTGTCCCAATCACATGCTGGCAGGGGTCACCTTGGTGTGTGGATTTGGGACACATGCATTCAACCATGCCATCCAACCATGAGCAGGGCCTGCGCAGCCTGCCCCTGCACTGCTTACCACGTGCCGGAGTGCTGCTGTGTCACTGCACAGCTAGGGCACTGGGCATGGCAGGAGCACGGGAGGGCCCCCTCCCCCCATCCAGGCCAGTCCCAAGCAAGGGGAACATCACATCCACCCTGACACTTTCCACCACAAACGCCTTTTTTACCAAGACCCTGGCCTTACCTGGTGGCCTCCGAGAGCTTCCGATGTATCTCCTCATACATATCCACATTGAAGGTCCTCTGCACGAAGGAAAGGGCCATCTTCAGGGCTTCCACCCGCAGTGGGGGGCAGTGGTCAGCAATGAACTGCAGCCGCTCAATGCGCATCAGCCCACTGTAGCTAGCTGCATACTGCTCCAGATCCTAGCACAGGAGTGAGAAGAAAGCAAACAGAGGGTCGAACACTGCATATAAGGCAAGGTCCCATATCCCAAGCCCAGAGACAGCAGACAGAGAAGTCTGACTGCACACAACAGGCACTGGACCTGATGGTGCTGAGACCACTGGGTGGGTGGAGACCCCATGGTAGGGCTCTGCTCCTCATGGCACTTATTAGTACTGGACTGGACTGAGCAGCCAACGGCATTTAACAGGTTGAGTCTCCCTGGAGATGAGACTCAACAGTCAGGGCTACTCCAGGTGGGTGAGAAGTGGGTGCAGGATGTCAGGCTAGGCTGAGAACCCAACATAAATGAGTGACAGAAAGCTGAAGAGTCCCAGTTCAGAGAAAGACCAGAAAAGTCACGGAAAAGCATCAGTCTGCCTACAGAGCAGACTGCAGTGGGACTCTGGCCTGGACACCCAGCAGGACTGCGATGGCCTCTCCCCGGCTGGGCTCTGTACCAGGGTGGGGTTCTCCACCACGTAGTTGACATCAGGCGCATTCTGGGGATCCTCCTGGGGGTCCACGTCAATCTGCATGGGCTCCACAGCCCCCTGTAACATAGGTCAGGCATCTTAGGCACCTTCAGCTCTCAGGTCCTTCAAGACATAGCAGCACCACTCCCCGACCAGTGCTGCCCTCCCCAGCCCCTGCTCCACGGAGCTCAAAAGAAGCCCCTTGGCTGGTGGCTGCCCAGGTTTGAGGGGGAAAGCAGACATCAGGTGGGCTTGTGTTCCCAGCCACCGCCTTCACCCCAGAGGCAGGAGGACCCCCAGAGGCTCTGTCCTGAACAGCCACACGGAGGTGAGGGCCGCGTGGGGGGGGCGGGGGGAGAAAGGGATCATCGGGTGGCGCAGGGCCCGCGGGGAGGGCAGGGCCTGGCGGGCACCTCGGAGAGCAGCGTGCAGGCCGACAGGCTGACGCTCAGGCTGCAGTCCCCGGCCGTGCCAGGCCGCAGGTCGGAGGCCGACGAGGAGGCCGAGCTGGGCGCAGGGCTGCCCGGCATCGCGACCTGACCGCCGGCCGCCGGCCGAGGAGCGTTGGCGCAGCGCGGAGGAGGGGACGGGTCGAGCGCAGCCCGCGCGGCCAGTCCACGTTGCGCGCGGAGCCTCAGCCCGGCAGCCTCCCGCCCTCCTCGTCCTCCCCGCGGCCTCCCGTCCTCCCCGCGGCCGCTCCATCGTCCTCGAGGCCTCCCGCCCTCCTTCCCGGGGCCTCCTCGTCCTCCCCGTGGCCCCGGGGCCTCCTCGTCCTCCCCGGGACCTCCCGTCCTCCCCGCGGCCTCCCGCCTTCCTCGCGGCCCCAGGCCTGGAGGGCGCGGGCGCGGCCTCGGCTCATCACCTGCAGGTTAAACACCTGAACCGGCAGCGGCATCTTCCACCACCCCGCCGCGGCGCGCCGTCCACTTCCGGGGCGACGCGGCTGCCGCTTCCGGGTCGCAGGGCGGGGCTGGGCGCGGGCCACTCTTAAAGGGGCCGTGGGCCACGCCAGCCGGTCCCCGGCGCCGGGGTCGCGGCGGTCGCATGAGCCGCGCGCGGGGCGCGCTGTGCCGGGCCTGCCTCGCGCTGGCCGCGGCCCTGGCCGCGCTGCTGCTGCTGCCGCTGCCGCTGCCGCTGCCACACGCGCCCGCCCCGGCCCCGGGCCCCGGCCCGACCCGCGCCGCTCCCCGCCTGCGGCCCGACGACGTCTTCATCGCCGTCAAGACCACCCGGAAGAACCACGGGCCGCGCCTGCGGCTGCTGCTGCGCACCTGGATCTCGCGGGCCCGCCGGCAGGTGCGCGCCCCGCCGCGCCCTCGGCTCGCCGCCGCACCTGCGCGCCCGCCTGCGCCGGCCCCGGGCGCGGGCTCCTCACGGCTCCTTTCTCCCGCAGACGTTCATCTTCACCGACGGAGACGACCCCGAGCTCCAGCTGCTGGGAGGTGAGCGCGCCCTGCGTCGGTGCTGCCGCGCGTCGCCCGGTGTCACGCGTCCCTCGACAGGGTCCAGCCCCAGCCGCCCGTGGCAGGAGCTGAGGCACTGGCCAGGTCACACGCCAGCAGAGGGAACAGCCAGGACGCCCACCCGCCGGCCAGCGCCCGGGGCCCCGTGTTGCCGGCCAGGTTCTGTTCCTCCGCCACAGCCACTGCCCTGCTAGGTTTCCCGGGGCCCCTGGCCAGTGCCACGTCCTCTGCCCGGCAGGGAACGTCCCTTTCGGGTCTGGTCAGGGCTGCCCCTCCGCGGGCCGTTTCCACTGCTGGACTCCCAAGGGCCGGTTATGTGTTCAGTCCCAGCTGAGCGAGGCTGAGCTCGGGCTGCATCTGGACTTGGGCCGGGCGGCCGGGCACCGCGCTCAGGGGTAGGCTGGGCGTCCACCCTCCACTTCCCCTCTGCCAACTCAGCAGGCGGCCGCGTCGTCAACACCAACTGCTCGGCCCTGCGAACCCGCCAGGCGCTCTGCTGCAAGATGTCCGTGGAGTACGACAAGTTCATCGAGTCAGGTCGCAAGTAGGCGGTGGTGTCCCCCCCCTCCCCCCCAGGGAACCCAGGGTGAATGGTGGGGGCCCTCTCAGCCACCAGCCCCGTGTCCACCACTGCCCTCCCTGCAGGTGGTTCTGCCACGTGGATGATGACAACTACGTGAACCCCGAGGGCTTGCTGCATTTGCTGTCCGCCTTCTCTCCCAGCCAGGACGTCTACCTGGGGAGGCCCAGCCTGGACCACCCCATCGAGGCCACCGAGAGGGTTCCTGGAGGCGGCACTGTACGTGATGGGGCAGATGGCCTGAGGATGGCGCTGGGGGTCAGGGCTGAGGAGCTCTCTCCTGGGCGGTCTGACCAGAGCTTCCTGTCTCCAGGTGACCACAGGCAAGTTCTGGTTTGCCACTGGTGGGGCCGGGTTTTGCCTGAGCAGGGGCCTTGCTCTCAAGATGAGCCCGTGGGCCAGGTGAGTAGGGGCCCAGCTGCTGGTGCTGGGAGGCGGCGGGATGGGGGTGAGGGCTGAAGCCGCTGACCAGCCTTCCCCGCAGCTTGGGCAGCTTCATGAGCACTGCTGAGCGGGTGCGGCTGCCGGATGACTGCACAGTGGGCTATATCGTGGAGGGGCTGCTGGGTGCTCGCCTGCTGCACAGCCCCCTCTTCCACTCCCACCTGGAGAACCTTCAGAGGCTGCCTCCCGAGGCCGTGCTCCAGCAGGTAGGCCCTGGGCTCCCTGGCGCCTCAGCGGGCGCTCCTGCCCCTGGACCTGCCCCACCCTCCTCCATCACCCTGGCTGGCCAGCCCGCCACCCAGGTGCTCTCCCAGCTGAGCAGGAGGACAGGGCTCAGCCTTGGGGCTTCTGTGTGGTCGGGGGGGGACCCTGGCCGGGTCATTTTGCTACCGGGCACAAGGTCATCAGGTAAAGAGCCCCTGTGCATCTTCCCGGGGGTAGGGGTAGAGGAGAGAGGGCCGGCTCTCACGTCTGCTTCCTGTTCTCCCAGGTCACCCTAAGCTACGGGGGTCCCGAGAACCCACACAACGTGGTGAACGTGGCTGGAGGCTTCAGTCTGCAGCAGGACCCCACACGGTGAGCAGGTGGCGGGCTTTGGGCCCCCGGGGCTCGTGTTGGCCCACAGTCTTGACTTCGCTTTCTTCCTTCGCAGGTTTAAGTCTGTGCACTGTCTGCTGTACCCAGACACAGACTGGTGTCCCACGCAGAGGAGGGGTGACCTCAGCTCTCGGTGACTGAGGACTCCTGGTGGCCACCCCCAGGTGGGCCTGGTTGGCTTCCTCTTGCCACCAGTACAGGTGCTGGGCAGATGCTCTGCTGGCCTCCCGCAACCTCTCAGCAGTCTCAGGGGCCAGGTGCTCGGGTGAGCGAGGACCACCAAGTCCCGTGCTCTGGCTGCCCAGGGATGGAAGGAGGAGTGATGGGAGGAGGGTGGTGCTGCTGGGCCCACAGGCACCTCCCCAGCCCAGCCCAGCCCAGCCCGAGCATCACGCCGGCAGGGAGGGGCCTCTGCCCAGCATCTGGACACCCAGGCTCCCAGGCTATGGCCTCCCTGCTCACCTGCAGAAGGGCCAGGCAGGCAGGATGCTCAGCAGTGGACTCCAGGAGGACTGTGGGCCAGTGAGGGGGCTTTTCCTGTAGGCCTCATGGGCCCCCTCCCTCCCCACACAGACCGCTCGGTAGGGCCTGGGGCCAGCATCAGGGCATGTTCCCCGAAAAGCTGCACTTGCAGCCAAGAGCCTCCAGGGCTGGCCTCCCCTGGGGCCCTCGGGCCCTCCGGATGCCCTTCCCCATTCTGCTGGACACTCAGGTCTTCCACAGGGAGCTCTGTCCTTCCCGCCCTGGCCAGGGTTCCTAATGCAGCCGCAGCCGGGGAACTGCCCCTTCCCTGCATCACGAGTGCAGCGAGTGCAGCCTCCTATTTCAGTGGACACCCGCAGGTGGCAGCTCGGCCCTGCAGTCCTCCCTACAGCCACCCTCCTGCCCAGCTCGGCTCCCTTCAGGCTCTGAGAGCTTTTCAGGCCTGGTCCCAGGCGCTCTAGCTGCCCTCTCAGCGCGTCTGGAAGCAATTGCCTTGTGTGCGTATGCACAGGTGTGCACTCCCATGTGCGGGTGGCTGAGATCGGGTGGCCCCCGGTGGGCAGGTGTGGACGTGTGCAGAAGGTGTACACTCGCTAGCCGTGGGTCAGCTTAGGGTTCTTACGTGGGGTGAAAGCATGTGCCCCGTGCTGGGGAGCCTGCCTTACGTTTGGAGCACCACCCCCTTCTCACCGACAGCCTGCGACCCACCCCGGACCTGGGCCATGCCACCACGGCTCAGGCAGCTGTGGGGTCTGATGGGGGACCCTGGGCTCCAAGCTGCGTTGCCAAGCCAGGGTGCTGGCCCATGTGTTGCATTAAATGCTTTTCCACTCGGGATATTTACACCTTGCGATGGGTTCCTGGGACCCAGCCCCTGTGCGTTAGAGCAGCTGTGTGAAAGGCAGGGAGCCACACCATGTGGCCAGGTCAGAGTCGGGGAGCAGAGCAAGGCACACCCCAGGACATCTGGGTCAAGGGTCACCAGCCTCAGGAGCCAGGAGCAGTGGCACACACCAGTAATCCCAGTGGCTCAGGAGCCTGAGGCAGGAGGATGGTGAGTACAAAGCCAGCCTCAGCAACTTAGTGAAGGCTTCAGCAACTCAGCAAGACCCTGTTACTAAATATATTTCTAAGGGGGAGGGAGGGGCTACTGGGGGTGTGGCTCAGTGGTTAAGCGCCCCTGGGTTCAATCCCCAATACCAAAAGAAAAAAAATTACCAGCAAGCCTGAGAGGAGAACAGTAAGTTCTGGTGTCGCCCGGACAGCGGTTCCACAAGAGGGCGGCCTGTGTCCCACGTCCATCTGCTTTGGCTGCTGGAGTGGAGGTGTGGCCAGCCGGCACTTGCTTCCCGACATGGGGTTGGGTGGCCCCTTCTTCCACCCTCACATGGGGATCTCCACCCGCAGCCTCCCCACAGCCCCGTCCTTGGGCTAGGGACGTGCTCAGGCCACCAGAACAGCGACTCCCAGGTGTGGGCCACTGTCCCGCACACATGGACTCCCGGCATCTTCACAGCCAGGCGTTCTCCACTGTGAGTTCAGCTGCTGGCGGGGTGGGGACCCGCCCACGGAGGGCTCTCTGGAGTCGGGGCTCTGCAGGTCTGACCTGGGCTGGAGCCCGGAGGTGTGTGACTGCTGAGCTACCAGCCCTTTCTACTTTTTACTTCAGGATGGGGTTTTGCTAAGTTGCTTAGGGCCTCCTTAAGTTGATGACGCTGGCCTCAAACTCTTGAACATCCTGCCTCAGCCCCTCAGCCACCACACCTGGCTTCTCTCCTTTTCTGATCCACGTTGAGGCTGCTCCTGAGGTCTTGCAGCCTCTCTTCTGAGTGACTAGGCCCACCAGAGTTATGGTCAGACTTTTCTAACTGGTAATTTTGTAAATTTAATCCAAAAAGTTGTCCCCAGGCAAAGCCAGTCCTGCAACTCACAATTTGGGAGAAGACTGCCCACCCCAGACTCGGGCCCTTCCGTGTGGATCGCTCAGACTGCAGAGCAACCACTGCTGGGAGGAGTGGAAGAGCCCAGAGGTGACCCACAGCTCAGGAGCAGGAGGGACCTAGAGATGGCAGCTGGGGCCCCAGGAGCCGCACAGCATGAGAGGCCAGGGCCCAGACCTGGTGACACCCTAGGCAGCCACCACACGAGTCACACAGGCTGGGGTGTCTGGCAGGTTACAGGAAGTGGCCATGCCTTGTCAGTGCCTGTCCAGCCTGGAGTGGTAAGCCCCGAGACCCTGCGGCCCCTCGCACCTTGCCAGCTCTTGCCAGGGGGGCCCAGGAGAGGAGCGGCCAGGCCTGACCTCCCTCTCCAGAGCAGCCCACAGCCCAGAAGCCCCTGCGCGGCCCCAGCAGAGCAGTCGGCAGCTCCCGTGCCCTCCAAAGGGAGCTGTGTCCCCCCGGGTAGCTGCTGCACCTGCCTTCCAGAGAGAAGGAGACCACCAGGTGTGCAGCTTCGTCCACCTCTGAAAGAGGAAGTGGGTGAAACACTGGCTCTCTTTGGTGTCTTGTATTTCACAAGCTGCCTACAGTGGACATGTAGTAGACATATAGAAAAAGTAGGAAAAAAGTGGAACGTTATTGACATTAAAAATTGTTGGGCTGGGGACGTAGCTCAGTAGCAGCTGGTGCATGAGTCCCTGGGCTCCAGCACCTGTGTACTTGGTCATTCTCTGGACAAGCCTCTACTAAGCTTCAGTACCCCCCATGTGACTGCCTACCAGGCACCTGAGGACCAGTGCCCATAGGTTGGACCTGGCCAGCAAGCTGGGGAGGGCTCCAGGGCCGGATGGGAAGAACTGATGCAAACAGTTGGCGCCCACTACTTGCAGATTCACCCCTCGCTAAATTTTATGTGTAACCCTGAACCAATATTTGCTTAGAAGAGGAGATTATTCACAGATGCACAGGGTGGGGGCAGTTTGAGTGGCCGCCTTGGCAATTTAGGGAGCTCTGTCTGAAGATGAGAAAAGGGCTGGGTTCAGTCCCAGCACTGCAAAAGTAAAACTCAGTGGCTGATGGACCACTTCCCGGCTAAGGCCAGGCTCAGGGACCTGCCCTCTGGCTCTGCTCTGAGGCGGGGACACGGGTGCTCTAGTGCAGTCCTGCTCAGGCCGCTGGACCTGCTGGAGCCCCAACTCTGGCACCCAGAGGTGGCCAGCCTCAGACAAGTCACTTAAAACATTTTACTTTCTCTCAAAAAATAGACTCTGCAGAAGGCGTTGCCCCTAAGCTGCAGGAGAGAGAGGTCTGTTTCCTGGCAGCCACGGCTGAGCATGAGTTGATTCCGTGGTTGCACAACTCTGAGTGTGATGAAAACCATCGAATTATACATAGGGACTGCCCAAAGCCTCCCGAGATGGGCTGGTTGAGAGGCCCAAGCAGCACTGGGCACCGGGGATCTGTCCAAAGCACGCCTGGGGGCGACCTGGTGCTGCAGCTCATCCTGGGGGCAGCAGCAGAGGGGTCCTCTGCCTGTGTCTGCAGCCAGGGGCCAGGGGTGGAGTTCAGAGCCCGACGTCAGACACCTGGTTTATCCGGTCTGGGAAGGTCCAAGCCTGGCTGGTCACACAAGATCAAGGTGCAGTGTGATTCCCAGCCAAGATACAGAAAGGAAGGTGGTGGTGGGGAGACGCCTGTATTCCCAGCGCCTCCAGAGGGGGGCAGGAGGACCACACGGTGTAGGCCAGCCCCGGGAACTTGGGGAAGCCTTCTCACAATGTCAAAAGGGCTGGGAGGTAGAGCACTCTGGGCTCAACCCCAGGAAGGGGCCGGGGGAGTGAGTCAAGATATCAAGAGTAAGATTGGAAGAGCACAGTATGGAGCCCCTAGTTTTATTATTTATTTTTGGTGCTATGGATTGAACCCAGGACCTTGCACATACTAGACAAGTTCTCTACCGCTGAACAACATCCCCAGCCTTTATAATTCGATTTTATTAACAAACATTTCCACAAAGAGATCTCCAGGACGAGATGGTCCGATTGACTAGACATTCAACTCGGCAAATAGAGGACCTTTCCCAACTCCTACCCCAGGGCCAGCAGGACCTGCTTCCAGCTCCGACAAATACATTGTGAAAACACTGACGCTTAAGTGTGCGTGGGCACTTAGCAGCGGGGGGGGGGGGACGCTGAGGTCCCGGGGGKGGGGGCCTCCACTGCACCCGTGTGCTGAGGGGCAGGAAGGGGGAGAGTGGCTGGTGCCCAGAAACCAGGGACGATCCTGGGCAGAGCAGCGGGCACACTGCTGGATCGTTGCCAACCAATCTACCCAGTGAGAGAAAAAGTCTTTTGCATAGAAAGTGCTGGGAAGCCGACATCCATGTGGCAAAAGTGAACCTTGAGCCTTCTATCAGGCCCGGCAGTCACTGGTCCAGGTGATCCGCAGATTCAGGGCCATCCTGGTCAAGGCTCCATGGCTATTTTCTCTCAGAAATAGTCTTAGAATTTATTTGTGATCTCGTAGGGACTCTCAAGGGGCCCAAGTAGCCCAAACAGTCCTGGGGGGGAACGAAAAGACGCCTTTGTCTCCTGATTCACCACCAGCCACCAGCTGGTCCCAGACCCTGAGGAGAAGACCAGGGCACACAGAAGGGAGCCTGCGGCGCCAGGTCAGGTGCGGTCACTCTCCGGGAAAGGACAGGTTTTTCAACACATGGTGTGTGGAGACTGGATTCCTACGTGAGAGGAGGGAACGGCCTTGGCTGATACCACAGACCAGAATGAAAACGCGAAAGACCAAGGTCCAAGCCAGAGCCAGGGCACCCAGAGTAGGTGGGGCGCAGCTCAGCAGTGGTGTGTGCCTAGCCAGTGCCCACAGCCCCGGGCTCCTGGCCCGCTTCGAGCACACACAGACTTTGTGTACCCAAGGATGGCATCAAAAGTAAAAGGGCAACCCAAAGAGACTACGGAAGTGTTCACGGTCACTGTGTGGTAGGGGTTGCTGTCAGGAAGACAGAACCCCTGAGACTCAGCCAAGAATCAGCCCGATTCACAGAGCAGGCGCAGGCCTGGAGAGACCCCACTCCAAAGGGCTAGAGGGGACACTCAGCAGCTCTAGCCGCCAGGTGCTCTCCCCTCACTGGGATGGGGACCTCAGAGGCCTGGCGCACAGTTGGTAAGAATGTTAACTGAGCCCGGCACAGGGACACACCTGCCATCCCAGAGGCTCCCGGGGCCGAGGCAGGAGGTTGGAGCATGAGATGAAAAGGGCTGAGAGCAGCTCAGAGGCAGAGCCCAGGGTTCAGTCCCCAGTTCAAAAAAGGTGAGAAGAACGGAAAGCAGGGCCACTGCTGTCGGGGACAGTCTGGCAGTCCCCACGTGACCCAGCAGCTCCAATTGAAGATCTATACCCCCCAAACTGAAATCAGGGTCCTGGGGGTGCTTGTACTCCATGCACACAGCAAGGCTGTCTACGACAGCCCAAGTGTCCACCCACCAATGAATGGACAGGCCATCCACATTATGGAATGCCATTCAGCTCTACAAAGGAAGTCCATCATGGTGGCACACCTGTAGTCCCAGCTAGGGAGGCTGAGACAGGAGGATCACTGGAGCCCAGGGTCTGGAGACCAGCCTGGGCCACAGAGAGAGACCTGTCTGGAACAGGAAGGAAGGTGGGAAGACGGGGAGGAAGGAAAGGAAGGGTTATGGAGAATGACATTCCTACCAGACAACCCCTAGCGGGAAACGTGGAGAGAGCGTGGCTTGGGAGGGGGAAGAAAATCAGCCAAACCTGAACCTCTGCCAGGAGTCAGTCTTTCCCCGTAACGTGGCCCCAGGGGAGAGCAGGCCTTCTCCCTCCCCAGGCTCACCCAGCTCCTTCCCAGCCCCAGTGGGTCCTGGAGGAGGGAGGCCGCTACACTGGGCCCCAAGCTTGACCTTCCCCCCTTGCCAATCAGTGCTGCGTGGAGGCCCACGCGGGGACTTCCAGAGGAAGAAGGAGAACGCTGTGCGGGACGGGACTTGAGGTCTCACCCCAGGGTCTCAGCGGCTCCCTTCCCCTGACATTTTAACCTGCACAACTAGGTCCGCAGTCTCCAAGGATCAGTTCACCCTCAGTGTAAACTGTAAAACCCAGGCTCCTTCTGGAACCTGGGGCCATTTTTGTACCCAGAAATGAGCCCTCCAGTGCCCGGCTGACTCCAGGCGGAATAAGGGAACCTTGCTGGTCCCTCTGAGGTCTGGGTCTGCCCAGTCGTTTGTACTTTCATCATGGAGCTGAAACCCTGTGATTAGTTTTGCTTACAGAAAAGAAGGAAGGAGGGGAGGGGGAGCGCTCTGGCGTGTCCTGCACCCTGAGGGGCTGAGAAGACACACGGGGGCAGGTCCTCCCCGGGAAGGTGGGTGAGGGCTGGGGTTGGCAGCGGCCTGACCTGGAGACACCAGAGCTGGCTCTGATCCCCAACAGCGCACAGTGAAGTCGCTCAAGAGCTGCGGAGGCAACAGAGGGAACGCTCACCCTGCACCCAAGCACCCCACACCCTGGCATCTGGCACCCAAGCACCCTGTACCCCGGCGCCCCGGCGCACACTTACACAGCTGAGCTGGAAAGGGGTCTGCTCTGTGACTGGTCGGCTGGTTTTCAAGACAGGATTTTCCTAAATTGCTGAGGCTAGTCTGTGACCCACGCCCTCAGGCCTTGTCTCCAGGGTGCTGGGATGACAGATGTGTCCCTACCAGGCTGCATACTATGTGCATCTTACTGCAATAAAACAGTCTGGGAATAGGTATCCAAATCAGGAAGAAGAAGGACTATCTCTATTTGCAATGATTTGATTTTATATCTAGAAAATACTAAATCAGGGCTGGGGATGTGGCTCAAGCGGTAGCGCGCTTGCCTGCATGCGTGCGGCCTGGGTTCGATCCTCAGCACCTCATACCAACAAAGATGTTGTGTCCGCCGAGAACTAGAAAATAAATATTGGGCTGGGGATGTGGCTCAAGCGGTAGCGCGCTCGCCTGGCATGCGTGCGGCCCGGGTTCAATCCTCAGCACCACATACCAACAAAGATGTTGTGTCCGCCGAGAACTAAAAAATAAATATTAAAAAAAAAAAGAAAAAAGAAAATAAATATTAAAAATTCTCAAAAAAAAAAAAGAAAATACTAAATCACCACAGAATAACGGTTATAGCTGATAAAAGAATTAAGAAAACAGCATCTGGAACTGCGGGTAGATCAGTGGCAGAGCACTTGCCTGACACACTGGAGGCCCTGGGTTCATCCCCAGGACCAAAAAAGAATTCAGCAAAGTTGTGGAATGCAAGATCAACAGGCAATAGTAATGAACATTCAAAACCGAAATCCAGACAATTATATTTTGAATTTAAAAGAACCAACCATATAGGGATAAACTGAACAACCAGACAAACGACTAATACACTGAAAACTGCAAGATGTTCCTGAAAGAAGTCACACTGGGAAGGTACCTGGGCTCCTGGTCAGGACGGCTGCTGCGTGTCCAGGCAGAGGTGTTGGCAGCCTGAGCCTCCCATTGGACGCCGGCCACCCAGCCGGAGCAGTGTCTGTGCACAGGGTCCAGCTGAGGGGGACAGGGCCTGGCTGTTTGGGGCTTGTTGCACTCTGCTCTGGGGAGGGGACAGCAGCTGTCAAGGACCAGCCCCCGTCGGAGGCACTGGCTGGAGTGGCCCTTGGGGTCTGAGAGGACCTGGAGGCTTCTGGCCTGGGCTGGTTGGGGGGAGGGAGCAGGGTCTCTGCCCGTCCCAGGGACCTCAGGCCAAGGGAAGGCCAGTCCTCTCCCGGGGACTGAGGCGCTGGGGTGGGAGTCTGCCAGGAAGAGACCCCTCCTCACACCCAGGACCTGCCCACAGGCTGGGTCTTCCCCCCCAGATGCTGACCCTGAGGGCACGGGCCTCAGTTTCTCCAACTAGAGGCCACGGGGGTTGGCAGCCCACAGCCTCCCTTCTCCCCACCTGCCCCCAGGGCCGATCCCAGGAGAGACGGGGCTGGCCTTTCCCACAGTATCTCTTTACCCCCCCTGTAGCCCGGCCCTGCCCACTCAGAAGAGCTTAGCCTCTGGGAGCCCACATGGGGAGTCCTGTTACGATCCCATTATGTAACGGGGTGGGCTGGCCTTTCCCACCAGCAAAGCCGCGGTATCCCGGGGCAGAGGACCAGGGGACCCTGCCACCCACACGCCCTCCCAGCATGGCCCTGAAGCTTCAGCCAGGCTGCCAGCAGGGCTGCCTCCTGGCGGGCAGAGACCCCACAGCAGGGTCAGGGGACTCCCAGCTGCTGGTGGAGGCAGGAGGTGAGGGTGCCTGGAGAAGGACGAGAGGCCTCGGCCTCCAATCTGACCTCATGCCCAGGCTCTCGGCCAACCCAGCCCTGGGCACAGCACCGAGCCCTCGTACCCCCAGACTCGGGCCTCCCTCAGCTCCAAGGGCCACCGACCTCCAGACACCCTCCCTCCACATGCCAGTGAGGCTCAGAAGACAGGACTGGGGCCTGTCCCATCCGTCCATGCTGCGGACAGCGGGTCCTAGTGGTTTCTGGTCACACAGGACTGTCCCAAGAGCAAAGGACAGGACGGCCACCCCATAGAAGTTTGGACTGGAGCCAGGCACGATGGCACACACCTGTGATCCCAGCAGCTCAGGAGGCTGAGGCAAGAGGATCTCGAGTTCAAAGCCAGACTCAGCAATTCATCGAGGCGCTTAGCAACTCAGTGAGACCTGTCTCTAAATAAAATACAAAATAGGGTGGGGACCTGGCTCAGTGGTCAGGTGCCCCTGGGTTTAATCCTTGGTGCCAAAACAAAAAACAAAAAACCAGTTTGGACTGGATGCTCTTTTGAACCCCTCATTGTCCAGAAGAAACAAAGCAAGGCCTGGGGTGCCCCAGCTCCCCCCGGAGCAGGGTCTTTCCCAGCCCCTCGCACTGCTACCTTCCGAGGCTCCAGATCAGGCCCAGCCAGGAGCCTGGAGCCACCAGAGGCCGGGGCAGCAGGAGCCGTCTCCGACACCCTCTCTGCGGCTGGCTGCCTGCAGAGGACTCCCTGAACCAGCCGGCCCCGGGAGCCTGCTGTCACCTGCTGGGGAGACGGTCCTGCAGGAAGCCAAGCCCTGGACA